GACATGATTAACCGGTAGAAATTTGTCAACCGGTAAGAGATTTTGGACTATCGTCTCTATCTCTATGCACGCGCTCTCTGAGAGACTGTTTCTCAGCGCTGTCTGAGAGACAAGCGCACATTAATAAAGTGAGAACTGAACTAAATGCTTTTTGCCGCCTAATCGGGCTTGAACGGTTGTATGTCAAAGTGACCATGTTTTTGCCAGTAAACAGTAATTTATGTCTTTTTTGTATTTATGTAATTTATGTAATTAAGTGAACGTAATTAGTTGAGAAGTCTACGGTTGATAAAGATAACGGATGGGTATAATGGATCTGTGCAGTCGGTCTTAAAGTGACAGCATCCAAATTTACCTGATGTCATTAATGCTAATCAAACAACAAAAGAGAGAAAATCTCTCACTGCACCTCGACTCAATCACTTTTGTAACTGTAATAAGAAATGCATATTTAATTTAAACAATAAAGACTACGTATTGTTTTTTAATGTGATTATACATTTTATGTAGTATTTCTTATTTCTAATCTAGTCCTTGAAGTTTTCCAGGTAGGTCTATTTCATTTGTGTCTTTGTTCTATTGCGTTTGTTTTCCTATATGCTTGTAATTAGTTTCTTTGTTCTTTCTTTATCATGGTTAACTTGTCTTCAGTAAGCTTTTTTTTTTAACTTTTTTTGTGATATATTGAAAATGATGATAAGAATTATGAAATTTCAATGATCAAACCTTATTTAAAGCAAAATGACTATATTGTGATATATATCGTATCGTTATCGTGAAATAAAATGACTCATATTGTGATAAAAGATTTTGGCCATATCGCCCACCCTTAGTGCTCCGCATACATCCCTTACAGTTCAGCCACGTGTGTCCAAGCCCTCCTGAGCACATCTAAACAGGGAGAGTTCGACTAGATCCTGATCTCTTCACCACAATGCGGGAAGGTCACATTCTTCAGCTTCCTTCATAGTAGAAGTGAACTTCTTCCTAACATGAACTGCAGGTTATATACTCCTACACACTGCTAACTCTTAATCGTCCTCATGTTTTCACTGGAAAACCAAAAGAGATTTGTCAATATGTCCACACCTGTTGAATGTAAAGGCATTGTCAGCCTACACTTTATGTCCAAAAAAAACCCCGGCAGGAGTAAACGTCTGAAAAGAGCATAATAAAATGGCTCTACTCATAAAACACTGAAAAACTTAAAAAGGTTAACATAAAACTCAAATTTCCACAAAAAGGACAAGAGACCAACAACTACATCAAGCGAGAATGAAATAAACCCAAGTTACTTACGTGTCTTCCATTATACCCAGATTTACTGCACATTGATCACTGATCTAATAAATTTACACTGCCCCCTGCTGGGTGTATAAAAACATCTTGCTGGTTAAATTAATCATTAAATGCCTTTAAATCGATCAAGCTCTTCTTTCACAGGAGGGCTACTATAGTAAACCTTCTCTCATCATGGTTGGCGTTAGCTGGAACCCCTCACTCTGCACCCGGGTCATGTAGCCAGGATCAGATGAGCTTTTAAATAGCGGAGTCTCCACTCGATGACCTCAGGTCCTGAGGGACACAGCCTTGTGGCCCTGAGCCTCATGCTACTCCTCCTACCCCCTGCACGAGAGAATGGGACAACCCGAACCCTGATATTTCAATGATTTCACTGCGAGAGCGGTCCTCCTCAAAAGCGGCCAGGAGGGGAAGGCGTACAGGAAGGCGAATGTTTACGTGAAACTGTTTTAATTAAATTCAGGCGGTGCTGGTATTTTCTTAAAAAAAAAAAAAAACTTGGAGCCTATGATCTTGAAAAGCAAAAAAGATGGCAACTCATTTGATCTGCAAGTCTTTTTTTAATTGTTTTATTAATTTTAAAACATTTGGGGGTTTTTTAAGCTATACAATAACAGCAAATTTGCTTAAAAAATCCATTATTTTGAGTTTATATACACACAGACCAAAATATTTTTTTTCTCTTTCTGCACAAAATCGGACCTGAAGAAGTCTTCTAGAGGTCCACAAGTCTCCACAACTTCAAAAATTAGAGTCCAAAACATCAAAGCTACATTCATATCAGATCAGTGAGATCTGCTGGTGAATCGAAAAGCTATGGCAACATTATCTACATCAATCATGTAACGCTGAAAATCTGTAGAGCAACCAAACAAATTATAATGGTTGGAGCGTAACAGCCCTCAATGGCAAGTGATGAAAGCCAACATGAGATCACACTGAATCCCATTCAAGCTGAACTTCAGGGAGAGTAAGAGAGACACAGCTTCAACGAAGGGTCATTTGGAGGTCGCTAGCAAAAGACTGTTCCAAACGAAACATAAACATGCATCTTAATGGACGCTGGGCCGACATCTCCCAGCGCAGAACCTGGCCAACCAGAACTAATCTATCCCTCAGCTGTGGAGTTTAATCTAAACAAACAGGTCTCGATGTTACTGCATCTGGAAGCTGTCATGTGCTTCGACATGGGAACAACTGAGGTGTGAGTGAGTGTGTGTCCAGCAACCGACTGTCATACTTCATCTGCAAACCTCCTGCACTTTTTGGAAAGGAAATGTGGAAGTGAGCAACAAAAATAAAGCCCTGAAGAGAGAGAGGATAAAGCTCTGGGTAAGGTGTTTGTGATGAGGTTCACATTCGATTTAAGAAAAATGACTTTAATGTTGAGAATAATTACTAAAAATGATTGACACTCAGCTTAAGTACTTAAAATATTTAGCATTACCGCAAACATTTTTCTCTAACTGAGGGGTAGACTGAGGTTTTAGGATCTAGGTTGCTACTGCACCCGCTCCATTATGGAAGCCTTAAGCAATCACTTAAGCTGCTCCAAGGGAAGTGGAACTATAGTGTAAGGTGCACTGGATGAAAGAAAAAAAAAGTGTCTGTCTGCTAAAGGACAAATTAGTAAAGCAAAAGAAAATAGGCCAAATTTATTAAATAAAGCCAATTAAATTATTACCTTCTCTAGTTTCTCAAAAAAATTGACATAGTATATAAATACGGAGTAGTATATATAATAGTGTGTGTGTGTGTGTGTTTAATGAAAAGTTCAAACTAAACCATCAAAATATATTTAAAAAATATATTTTTAAAAATATTTTAAATATGAGGGAAGAACAAAACACTCAACTTAGTCAGGGTATTTACAAATGTTACAACAAAATTATTTGGCAAAAAAAGGCAAGCTAAAGTTTTATTTTCCAATGCAAAAAAATGCATAGAAAAACAAAAGGTTCGCAGGAAAAATCATACATTAACAACATAGGGAGTCATTAATATTTTGTAATTCGTTGGTTCTCTTTTGTTTTTGCATGTGTTAAATAATAAATTCTTTGTAGACATTGTGGACAAAAACTATATCCATACAATTTTGGTATCTTTATTTTATATAAATTATATTATATAAAATTGATTTTAATAATATTTGAATACAAGTCTGAATATGTAAATTTCCCTAGAACATACATCACTTTTGGCCACTATATTAGTCGTGGATAATTTTATTTGCTATATTTAGTTATAATTTAAAGCCATGAAGTGGCAAACAGACTTACCAGTTTTGCAACTCCAAGTGAGGCAGTGCCTCCTCAAAAAAAAATTGATAAAAAAGTAATTTACAGTATAAAAACAATATAACAGTCATATTATACTAAATATGAGATCAATTAGTGTAAAAATCACCCGTTTTCTATTAAGTAATATTGTTTTACGAGGGCTAACTGTAAAATACTGGCAAAAAGTCACAGGACATAGCCTATCTTACTATGTTTGGTCAATTATCGTGACAATGGCCACCTATCATGATAGGAACAGGTCAACTGGTCAAAATGGTGTAACTAATTACAGGATAAACAGCTCACCCACTCAGACATCACAAATTTCAACTTGAAATGAATTAAAACAATTATCTACAACTAAATAAAAACAAAAAATGCTTAAAAATGCAAAGATTGTTCATATAAATACACATTATTATACTAGCAGTTTGTTTATAGTGCAATGTAAACAGTGTTTCATGTTTACACAGTGTTCGGTTAAAAGGGACATCAAGTGGAAATGCAACAGGAATAAAAAAATACTAAACACAGAGGCAACAGTCTCATTTCATAAATCTACCACACACCACTGACTTTAATATCAGTCCTGCATGGACAGAACATGGTGTGTAATTACAGTCCAAAAACACACTGAAGGCCAATTTATCCAATTAAAATAACTTCATATAAAAATGCCTGTGAAATCAATTATAATGTAAGCTCTTATATCATCTGTGGTCATTTCAAAGGTTCTTTAAACTGCAGGAATGTAGATCAAAGCAGAAAGGCCTATTTGCCCCTCCCCCCCTTCAAAAAATCACCACCCACACTACGGCCCCAACATCTCACAATTGACTTATTCATAAAATAAAACAACTCTCTTTCAAACTCTCTTCAAACCGCATATGAGCTGTAGTATGTGTCGGGTCTGAGTGCACGTTTCTGCCTGTAGTTCGCTCGGTTCCTGCTGAAACTCTGAGACAAATCTTTTTGGAAAGTTGAACGCTGTCCAAAACAGGACCACACACAGGCTCTGTGAGCAGCACGGATCAGATTCAACTGCTGGAGGCAGACACACACACACGCACTACTCGCACACACTCACAAAATGGCGGCTATTCGTGTTAAAAAAACACTCACATTGCTTTCCAAATCAAATATCCACTGATGTATCGAACTTGGAAACAATCGGCGGGCGCGGGCGCGCGCGCTCTATAATATTCCATAAGCAAACTGCATTCGTGCGCGCGAGGCAAATTCGAAGCGAAAAACATTCTTATCACGTTTAATCTGGATTTCTGCCAGACTTCAATACAATAAACAATTCCTTCAGCTTACATGACAGACCCCCCACCCCACTGCTTCAGGTCTGCCTTTAGATTACACTTGAGGGGAAAACGTATTAAAGACTTAAGTAAAAGGAAAACAGCTTCTTACCTTCTACCCAGAGTTTCTCCACATCCGTCTCCAGATTAGCTGCCCTTAAGCCAACAGCAAAAGCTCCGAATATTAAAAGGCCCACAACTAAAAACTTTCCGCAGTTCTTTTGTATGTAACAGCCAAGTTTAAACAAAAGTCTTTGAAACTTTGCTCTCAACCACAGCGGCGCTTTCCTCCCAGTCGCCTTCCCCTACAAGACAAGAGAGAGCAAATATTAAACTCGCATCACCTTGTTAAACAGATAAACTAAATTCCGTCGATACTTATTCATTGTTTTTCGATTAAATGCAGTAAATAAAATAAATTGGCACTTAGGGGGGCTTCGTTAAGTGTAGTATCAGGAATAACCTTTCTTTTCAAGTAATTGCTTGAAATGTAAACAATTAAGGTTATGTATCATAAGGTCTTAAAAGTACCCCCTCCATCCACACTTTCAAGCACTGTTCCTATGGCAAGCCATTTTAACATGTAGGCTATCCCTTAAAACTATTTTTTCATTATAGCAAGCACTTATTTTTTACTACTAGGCCTAGTTACTAGCTGCATCCTTTTTACTATTGCCAGTAAATAATCCAGTAGTGACTAGTATCTTTTTTAGTGTCACTAGACTTATCTATTTATTAGATACCAGTAGTTCAACTTACTCATTTACAACTAGTCACTATCGCAATAACTATTCTGTTGTGGCGGAAAATTTGAATTATATCATGTTCAGATATCAACTTCAGAATAGTATATTATATTCCATTCTTACTTGTAATTATTCATTAGAATATAATACATTTTCTTTAGATACTACCATCTATTCCAGTTTTCCTAAAACACACACTAAAACATGTGTATTCAAGTTGCTATAAATCATTCATAATCTTACTAGTAAAAAAATATAATTAAAATACAGAGCAGCCATTCTGAATGGTCAGTCATTAGACTCGTTACATAAAAAAAGCTGTAACTAGTCTTAGAATGTTAAAAGAATTACATAGATTCAGGTGTCGTATAAATATGTGCTAAAAACTGGTATACTGTAAAAAAAAAAAATTGCTGCCTTAAATATTTAAGTACAATCAACTTGGATGTTTAAGTAATTTCAACTTAAACTACATTAAACTGACTTTTTACTGTTATTTTATAACTTATAAAAAAAGTTTAAATGCTCAACTTATTTTGACAAGTTAACGCAGTGTAAAAACATGTTGTCATATAATTTCATATATTGTTTTACAATGTACACATACCACATTAAAATAATAGTTCATATTTGAACCACAGATCCTCAAAGAATTAAATGGCAAATATTCAATTAGCTACCAGTAAAAACAGAAAAGTTATTTGTCATTATTGGGTTTGTGACTAGGAATAAGAAGTATTATCCAAGTCTAAGACATAGTTATTACTAATGAAACTATATAACTAAATAAAAATTATAATTATATAATAATAATAATAACTAGTCACAAAAAATACTACTTGGTTCTAATGAATAAATGTTAAAACAGCTTGCCATACTACTTGTACTATTCTCTCGGCATTCAAAGAGCATAATTCAAATGAGTTATTGTCCCACGCATAAACTAGACGTTAAACTGCGTATGGCTGCAATGTGACAGATTGCATTCTTTGGACATTGTACCAGGGAAACAGGTTGCAATGTCCAAAGTCATGTAATATCGGAGATGCACGTGGGTCGCATAGCTGAAGGGACGCGATGTGATGTGATTTGGGAAGTGCTGCAGCCATCACAGAGGGAGTTACGACAATATTTGTGAACGGAAGAGGGCAGCCACATGGATCGTGCCTGCCCTGAGCAGTGCGGGACGAAAACGACTCCCTGTGTAGATCCTATCTGAGGGGGCTTCAATCAGTGGGATAGGGCCAACATCACTAAGACCCTTCGCTTTACTTTCAGAGCTCAGCTTCACGTCTGACAGTTAGTTATGTTTACGATTAATGCATCGGGACAGATGGACATAACGATGAACAAATGAAGCGGCTACAGGTTGCCTCGCGCATAGACCCCCCCACCGGCGCCGTGGCTATCCCGTTACCTAGCGACTTCACTAAAGTTGAGCACTTTGTCAGAGATTCCCAACAAAGTCAAAATGCAAACAGGCCAAACATTAAAGCACCTCTGATATCTGTTCCAATGCAAAGGCAGCATCGCAATAGCTCGGTCGCTGCAAATACTCCAAATCCGCCGCGGCGGTCCGATAGTTGCCCCTATTTCTCCGTGTTAACCTCGGCCGATCGGGGTCTCTGTTTTCCTGCTCGGAGGAGACATTAACAGCCGAGGCCATGTTGCAAAGTCTGCGCCGAACGTCTCGTTATCCGCGCTAGTGTATTTCCCCGCGAGCGTTTAGTGATATCCAAAGAAAACCAAGTTTGTCTCTCGTTGAGCCCAGATCCGCGAAGCACTTCATACTCCTGTTTGAGACGGCGAGTCAGAGTCTGCGCCTTCCATTCCAACATTTCGCGAATCTGGAGGTCTCCAACAATTCCCCACTTTCACGCCGTCCGCTGGAAAGTCCGCGATATCAGAAGGCGAAGTGGAAGATGCTGTGGAAACGTCGATCTCTCGGTGGCTGAAGCATTCTGTGATCTATGGGGTCCCTCCTCAGGCCGCGCGACAAGGCGATCTCTGAGAGATTCAATAGATGTGAAAAAAAGATCACTCTCCATTCGGAGAAGGGGAGGAGGGCGTGGCGAAGACCACTCGAAATCCCGCCTCCGGGGCTGTCAGATGGCCGGGGTTCCTGGGCTCTGATTGGTTCCAGAAGGGCAAAAATTACTCAGCAAACACGACTATTATTAGCTGCTTAGCAACAGCTCACCAAAGTAGAGGGACCACCCAAGCCGCGAGCCCTCGTGTGTGCATCTCAAACTTCAGGGGAGTCTATAGAAGCAAAGCACTCTTTCTGCTGGACTCGAAGCGCTGGGTCCAACTCAACTCAACTCGAGACTCGGCGTCCAGACAAACACATGGAGAAAACTGCTGGAAGCAGGAGAGCACGGAAGATTTCTTTCTTTCTTTCTTTCTTTCTTTCTTTCTTTCTTTCTTTCTTTCTTTCTTTCTTTCTTTCTTTCTTTCTTTCTTTCTTTCTTTCTTTCTTTTTCTTTCTTTCTTTCTTTCTTTCTTTCTTTCTTTCTTTCCTTCTTTCTTTCTTTCTTTCTTTCTTTCTTTCTTTCTTTCTTTCTTTCTTTCTTTCTTTCTTTCTTTCTTTCTTTCTTTCTTTCTTTCTTTCTATGGATGATCTTATTTCTTTTGAATTAAAATGGTGTAGCAAAGGAGCATTGTGTTCAGTGTTTAAAGATGAATTGCTTTTCACACATTTCCTGTAATTCATTTTTACTTTTCTATGAGATGATTTATATTTTGTAAACAGTGTTTTTGTAAATTTGTAATAAAGAGCATTTTAAATTCAAAATCTTTCTTTATTTCATATTGTTTTCTTTCTTTCTTTCTTTCTTTCTTTCTTTCTTTCTTTCTTTCTTTCTTTCTTTCTTTCTTTCTTTCTTTCTTATTGTTTGTTTGTCTTTCTTATTGTTTATTTCTTTACTCTTGTTTTGCTTTTGCTTTTTTCTTTGGTTTTCTTGTTAATTCATTTTCTATAAGTAGTTGTAAAAGTCTGTGCCAAAACATGGGAATTCGTTGTCTTGTTGCCCTTTTTTACATCAAGAATTGTGCAAACATTACATAGGTTTTATATGCATATCACACATCCAAAAATAGTTTATGACTATGAGAATGAAAAATCTGTCTTGTACCAAGCCGCAGTGATTGTTCTGCAATACATCATGATTAGTTTTCCTCCTTAAACATAGGCAGTCATGGCTTAATGGTTAGAGAGTCAGACTGCATGGTATCCCAAAGGTTGCAGGTTTGATTCTCAATACTGGAAGGAAATGACTTGAGTGTGTGTGTGTCTGTGTGTACTATCATTACTCCTAATGTGTGCACTTGGATGGGGTAAATGCAGAGGACAAATTCTGAGTATGGGTTACCATACTTGGCCTTAATATCTCACTTTTTATTTCACATAAACCACATTATTCAACACAAATTAATACAAATATATGCAGCTATATAGCGCTATATAAACACTGAACGATGATTGGAGTGGTGATGTCATCAGATTAGGAGACTATGGGAGGAAAGCCTTGACATTAGTACGAAAATGAGATACATCGTTATAAAGAATCCATTTCCTATCCCACCCCACCATCAGGAAATTATTACAGCCATATTATTTTCCTCCAGAAAGGAAAAAAACTGGACCATTAGTCATTAACTTCCTCTGCTGGATTCTCTGAGCTATATGATCTGTCTTGAGCACTATGTTTCACTCAATCTCTCCCAACAGTTTTGTAGTTTGCCATGGTTCCCACTGCAGTGATGTACCCATGACTTTTCCCATGTTTACTCTATAACACAAGGTTGTGCTCAATCACACAGATGTGTTTGACAGCTCTGAGCACTTCTCTGCCAGTGTTTACACTCTCCAATTTCCTCTGCGATTGTGTGGCTCTTGTATAATCAGTATGACACAAGAGAAAGGAGAGCACTTCATAAAAACTAGCTATTTACCTTTGCACGGAGGCTGGATGTTTTCAGTGAGGGAAGTGTTTTATACTGCATTTTTTGAGATTCAAATGTAATAATAACAAATGTTACAGGACATTTTAGAGCTATTTCATCAGACATCTTTTGGGGAAGATGCAGATTAAAATATATATATTTTTGTGTGTAACACTATCCATCCATCCATCCATATTTTAAGATATTTTTCTATATTAAAAGTTACACACACCATCAGGGCAGTGTTCTGACTTTCTGTTTAGTTTGTAGTATATTAGTAAATCCCTGCAGAGCGTTTGGGTCTCCAATGCCCAGATCCTGATCTATGCTTAGCCTACAGTCTTAGCAATCATAATTTTCAGGCTTAAGTTTGGACCTTTCCCAAAACAATCCTTAAAAAATTCTGAAGTATGCGCTGATTTTGTGTTTTGTTTTCATTTCATCACCATAGAAATCTACCTTACACCCTTTCTGTTCCACCTCTGTCTGTCCTCAGCAGTTTACAGAAATATAACACTCATGTGAATGTGAGATTGGTTTTATCCAAGTCTCCACAAAAAAAAAAAAAAGGGAAAAAAAGTAATCGTTCCATTCTCATTAGCAAGATGTGAGTGGCTCCCCAGTGTCCCGGCACACAAAAGGCCACACATTTATTAACTAATTACACAATATCATTTCTATACCTCATGAGAGGTCCTTGGAAATGGTTGTCTTGCTTCACAGCTGTGTGATGTTTGTCCCATTGTCCCACCTACTCTCATCGGAAATACTGTCCATAAAGACAAAACTTATTAAAACCTGATTTGCTTTAGTATTCAAATTCATTTGCATAATATTCACTCTTAAAAATAAATGTTCCAAAAGGAGGTTTTCAAAGCAATGTCATAGAAGAACCATTTTTGGTTCCCCAAAGAACCTTTTTATTAGTGTAAAGAACCTCTTGTGCAATGAAAAGATTCCATGGATGTTAAAGGTTCTTCGTGTAACCATAGATGCCAATAAAACCTTTATTTTTGGACAGTAAAGTCTGGCAAAAGATCTAAAAAATACTGTATTGAGCTTATTGACCAATAAGTTCTGAGTAAAATACTGCGGGTGTTTTCCGGCGAAAGCAAAATACTCTCCAAAAACATTTTGGAGTTATTTTGGAGTGAATTATATGATGACGTGGCTCTCCACAAGTACCTACAGCTTGCGCGCAACTCTGTGGCTCCAAGCCCTAAAGGACCCTCTGTTCCTTGAAGCATTTTCAGATTGGCAATTATAAAGTAAACACAGCTGGCTGTAATATATATGAATTTATTGGCTGCATCATGGTTATTTAGGCAAAAAAGTATTACATATACAAAGCTCTGCAGCTGATTGAGCTTCTCAGCCACATACTGTCTTCATAAGAAACCTTTATTTATTGAGAAATGGTGAATGTCGAATCTGTGCAGACAGGTTTGTATAGCAGTCTTTTGACAGAGATTTTTTCCTAACTAATTGTATTATTCTAAACTAAATCTTGCTGTCCGGACGCTGCTAATATTACATATACTGATGTGACCTCATTTATGGTTATGTACTTAATATGCACGCACCAAAAGCACCAAAAATTGCAACTTGAAAGAGAGCTGTGCGCATCATTGGCATTTATGAGAATACATCTACGTTCTTATGTTAAATCAAATCTGATGTTTTCAGGCTCTGACATATTATTCATCATGTTTACTATTGCTTTTGACACATGACAGAGAGACATCTGTAGTCATTTACCACAGGCCATGCTTGGATTATACACTCTGGGACAAAGCATGAGCAAAATACCGCACTCCGTTAGTTATTTAGATGTCTTTGCTATGTGAATTGTAAAACGTCAAGTATACAATGCAAACCTCTCCCACTGGCTTTTCAAATGTGTGGTGTTTATACTCAAAATCTTTTTTTGAGGGCCAATCAATGCCTGCTTTGTAGATTTACTGCCTTCTTTCTTCAGTGCACAATCGCTGGTGACTGGGAGCCTGTTAGCACTTATGAAATAATTTGGGGAAAACACATCATTTACTGATCGAGTGATTGGGTGAGAGAAGAGAAGAGGTGTGGTGCAGATGTTGAGGTCCAGTTGCAGGTCTGCAGGGACCGTAAACCTGCAGGGTGATATTTTGATGGAGATTTCTGACAATAAGACCATACTATCATATATCACACAGTATAAGAACAGGCTTTGTGTCCTTTTAGCCAAAGCATATTCATTTTCAGAAAGACCAAAAGAAAGACATGGGGTAAATGTAGAAAGAATGTTTGGTGTGACTAAATATCTACCGATTTCCTCTTTCTTTCTTAGATTTTTTTAATCTCTCTTAATTTTTTATTACAATAAACTGTACTCAAAAGTCAGCATAAAGTAGTTTGCAGAATGTCAAATAACATGTCATAACAAGTGTAGGCCAGTAAGCATTTGGTGCCGTGACCCAGATGGGAGTGAGGGGTGTGAGTGTAACTGTCGTATAGGCCAGTAAGTGATTGACGGTAACGGCTGTGGTCTTTAGCGTCCTTGTTAGCTCGACTGCCTCCCACGCAAGAGACCCCAGTTCGGATCCCGCTTTCAGCGGGTCGAGTAGGACCGGATACACAAGGCAGGTGAATCATTTTGTGCCCTGGGGGATCTTTTAGATATTGTTTTCATGCACATTTATGCACCATCAGTTAGAGAAATAAAAAGTGATTTACAGTAAAACATTAGACTCTTGTTTCAAAATCTGTATGGTTTTCTTTTTGGATAGAGGAAGATTTCAAGCTTCAAAAAGAACATAAAAACATCATAATAAACAGAGGAATTCCAAAAGGGTCCTCAAACCATCGGTGCTCGGGCCCTAATAAGAGCAGGCTATCATAAAAGTCATCCATTGCAAGTTTTTGACCCCATATACTAGGTTTAAGGAACAAATCAAAATTCAGTCATTATTCATGATAATCGTCACTTCCTGTAAGTAGTTACAATAGGGGGAAAAAGACTATTGCAACGTCTGTTTCATGCCGACTTTAACATTCACCTTGTGAAGAGCAGCAGGGAAAACTTATTTTGGTGTAGAATCTTTCTGCTTTAAACCAGTTCACTT